AATATTTAGAGATAAACAAACACTCTATGATTAATATTTAGAGATAAACACACACCCTATGATTAATATTTTGAGTTAAATTCACTCTATAATTAATTTTTAGAGATAAACACACAGTCTACAATTAATATTTAGAGATAAACACACACTCTGTGATAAATATTTAGAAATAAATACACACTATGATTAATAATTAAGATAAACACACACTTTATGATTAATATTTAGAGATAAACACATTATCTATGATTAATACTTAGAGATACACGCACACTCTATATTTAATATTTAGAGGCAAAAAGTCTATGATTAATATTTAGAGAAAATCACACACTCTATGAGTATTATTTAGAGATAAACCCACACTTTATGAGTAATATTTAAAGATACGCATAAAATGCGATTAATATTTAAAGGTAAACACACACTCTATTATTAATATTTAGAGGTAAACACTCTATGATTAATATTTCGACAAAAATACAACAATATGATCAATATTTAGGGATAAACACACACTCTATGATTAACATTTAGAGATAAACTCACACTATATGATTAATATTTAGAGATAAACACTCTATGACTAATATTTAGAGATAAATACATCACTATGCTCAATATTACAGATACTCTATGATTACTCTTTAGAGATAAACACACACTATGATTAATATTTAGAGATAAACACACATTCCATGATTAATATTTACAGATAAACACTATGTGATTAATATTTAGAGATAAACACACACTTATTATTAATATTTAGAGATAAACACACATTCTATGATTAATATTTAGAGATAAGCACATGATCTTTGATTAATACTTAGACATAAACACACACTCCATTATTAATATTTAGAGGTAACTACACGGTATGAATAATATTTAGAGATAAACACTGTAAAACCTCGGCATCAAAGCGCCGGGCACCGGACCGAATCCTCTGCCCAAGGACGGGGCCAGACCACTGGATGCAAATGCAAGAGGCGATTTATTGGGTACACAGGCGCCTGCGGATGCTACTGCAACTCGGGTGCAGAGCATACCGGGCTTGTAGGGAGTACACTATTTATGGAGTTTTAATGATTACATAAGTATCAGCATAGCAACAGGTATTTCATTGGCTACTGAAGCATGGGCTGAGATCATCTGGGGGGCAGGGGTAGTTGCCAAGGACTAGGTTTCCTGGTATTACTATGAAAGACCCCGGCATGCTTCAGCAATTAGTATCCGGGTCCTATGATTGCTATGGTGATCATAGACACAATTGGGGGCCAGGGTAGTTGCCAAGGACTAGGTTTCCTAGTATTGTCATATGAAAGTTCCCAGCACGCTTCAGCAATTATTATCCGGGTCCCATGATTGCTATAGTGATCAGAGACATCCTGTTTTGAGGGTGAGACACCTGGTCTGGGTTTTTCCACTAGGCAATGGCTTGGCTTTGTTTTTCTTTTTCCTAGGGGGCCCTGGGTAGGGGTCTTTCATTCCCCCTTGTTCTTGTACATAGGTAGAATCTTATACCTATTCTCCAGCCCTCTCTACTTAAGGTTTACTTATGGTTCTGTCTGTTTGAGGGCATGGTATTGTTGAGTTAGGACTAAGGCTTGAATTATTGTTAATCTATCTTTTATAAATTGAACTAGTTTGTTGAGAATGCAGGGCCCAAAGGTTAACACAAGTATGAAACTAATTAGGGGGCCCATAAGAGTAGAGGCTAATGTAGCGAACCAGGGGGATTTGTTAAACCAACACTCATACCAGTATTGTTGAGATTCAGAATTTCTTCTAACGAACAGTCAGCCTCTCCTTGAGTTTATCCAGAAGTTTCAGTTACTACCGCAGTCTTGTCTGCATAGAAACAACATTCCTCTTTGAGGGCAGCACATAAGCCTCCTTCTCTAAGAAATAGGAGGTATAGTCCTCTTCTATTCTGTAGGACCACTTCGGATAATGAAACCAAAGAGTCCTTAAGGGCTCTAACTGATTTTTCTAAGGCCTGTAGATCCTCATTCATGGCTGCCTGGAGCTGTGTATTCTGATTGCTCTGAAGTAAGGCAGTGGTCCCGGTCCCTATACCAGCCGCTATCCCCCCAATTCCCAAGAGAAGAGCTAATGTTACTGAAATAGGTTCCCTTTTAAATCGATAACGATTCTCAAAGTATCCTAGCACAGTCTCTGCGGAGTGGTATGTAATGTGGGGCCATAGCTGGACAAGTACACAATAATCAGCTGTGATGTTAAGAACCAACACTGAGACGAAAGGAGTCAGTCCCGTATTGCAGGCCCAATAGGTCCCATTAGGGCCGGTCAGGTATGAGTTGCTGGGAGTTACTGAGACTGTACGGTTACACAGTTTTTGAGACGATGTGGGAACATTTCCAAGACATAATCCTCGTCCAGTCACCTGGGGCAGAGTTACTTTATGATTAGGTGTTTTGCTGCATCAGGAAGGGGGAGATGTATAGCTGATAAGGTCACAGTCCAATGTCAAGCCCTCATAATAAGTGGGAGCCACTGTCAAGCAGAGCCAACAATCCTCCGCCTTATCAGGATGGGTTTCGTTTAGGGCTTGGTGGGCTCTTCTGATTAAGTTTAGTAGTCTACTAGTAGACCCGAGCTTTGGTCTAGGGGGTAGAGTGGCACTACTATGCCTGGTAGCAAGGGCAGGAAGGGTGGTGACAGATGGCAAGGGGTTAGGCTTGGGTCTAGGGAGGCTCTGGGATGGCCTATCCTGTTGGTCGAGTAGCACAGAGTTTGGCCCAATAGAGGCCACAGATGTGGGGGTTATTGTTCTGGAGATCAGAAATGTGGCTGCGGGGTCCATTCTAGTATGATACAGCCGTAGCCCCCAGGCCTTGGGGGCATCCCATGCTGACCGTTTAGTGGCCTCAGTAAAAGTAATTATTAGGGGGTTGCATCTTCCTCCAGGGGTGCTATCCTGGAGTTTGGAACTTGAATCATAGCATGGTCCACAATCCTGTCCCCCGCAAGTCCAGGGGCCATCTCCATTATACCCCGGGATAGTTCCTCGCTGGAGGATGATTAAGTCCCAGGAGGAAGTGGGTTTCAAATAGGTGTTCCCGGTTGTCTCACATCCCCATTCAGTGCAATACCCATCTCCTGGTCCACCACATCTATGTTGGAGCTCTTTATCATGGTTATGCCCTGGGCAAACATATATGTCACGTTTGCGTGTGGATATGCACCAGCCCACATGCCGACAGCCATAGCTGGGGAAGAGCTCTTGTTCTGAGGGATCCCATCGCTCACCCACTAGGTCGCAAAGATCTACATACAAAGGGGGAAAGGTTGCATTTATGACACCCCGTGTGGTAGTGGAGTTAGCGATTGCCCCGGTGTCCTGATTGATAATCTTCCAAGTTATTTTATATATGGCATGGGGGCTCCCTAGTGCATCATCAACTAGCAGTAATAGGATCAAGCATATTATTGGCGTATTAATCTTATCTTTAAAGGGTTTTGAGAGCGTTGGAGCCTCCATGACTCTGGATTTCGTTGGGCTGGTGTATCGGTGCAGTGTTCTGGTCGGGTGGCTTAACGTGTGAGGCATGGACCAAGGCTGCGATGCCGTCTACCTTCAACACTGTGGGGGTAGTCAGAAGTACAGTATAGGGTCCCTTACAGCGAGGTTCTAGGTTCTTGATCTGGTGTCTCCGGACCCAGATGGTGTCACCGATCTTAAAGGGATGAGGTACGGAGAGTGATTCTATCCCTTTCTGGTACGCCGCTGCTATTGCCTCCAGACCTCCTGTTGCACCAACTCCAGGGCCTGCAGGGAAAGGGAAGTGGCAAAATCAGAAATATAAGTATCAAAGAACGTGATGGCAGGAGGTAGACCCCCATGTAAAATTTCAAATGGGGTCAGGCCATGTGGGCCAGGTGTGTTTCTGGCCCGGTATAAGGCTAGAGGCAGGAGGAGTTGTACCCAGTCTTTAGAGCCAGTTTCAAGTGATAATTTGGTTAAGACCTCCTTAATTGTTCTATTCATCCTTTCAACATGACCTGAACTTTGGGGTCTGTAAGGACAGTGTAATTTTCAATCAATCCCCAAGAGCTTGGCCACCAACTGACTCACCTGGGAGACAAAGGCAGGCCCGTTATCCGACCCTAATACCTGTGGCATCCCGTATCTGGGGAAGATTTCTTCCAGAAGCTTCTTGGTGACCATTTTCGTGGTTTCATGTTTGGTGGGGAAGGCTTCCACCCATCCGGAGAAAATATCTACAAAGACTAGTAGGTATCTGTAACCATTGATCCCAGGCTTGATTTCCATAAAATCGACCTCCCAATTATTCCCAGAGCGTTGACCTCGGAGGCGCTTTTCTTGACCAATTTTGGTATTTCCTAAAATTGACCTGAGCACTGCAATTGTCAGTTACTTGTAGAAGCAGCATGTCTTTCTGTGGCAGGTGCATGCTCATGGTTCCCTGTTCTAATAGGGTTTTCATCTTTTGCTTGCTCAAGTCGGTTAACTTATGGAGGCATTCAATTAACTCCTTAGCTGACTTTATGGGTATTACAGTCTTTCCTTGGTGGGTCCAGCAATTGCGGACTGAGTCATAGTCAGCTCCTAATCTCTGGACGAGGTCTAGGTCCTCGTCCATATAATCCCAGTCAGGGACTGATTTGCCGGTTGGCACCCCGACAGTTAACAGTTGAGGCCCCAGCGTTGCCTGCTTGGCCACCTCGTCAGCTCGGCGATTTCCCATGGCCTCAGGGCTGTCACCTTTTTGATACCCGGGACAGTGTATTATGCTTAATTTTGGGGGGAGAAATAATGCTTTTAAAAGGGCTAAAATTTCATTTTTATTCTTGATCTCTTTGCCTTCTGAAGTTAAAAGTCCTCTCCTCTTGTATATTTCCCCATGTATGTGGGCTGTAGCAAAGGCATACCGGCTATCAGTGTAAACATTGAGCTTCTTACCTGCTGCCATCTGGAGTGCTTGAGTTAAGGCGATCAATTCTGCACATTAAGCAGAGGTGCCAGCTGGAAGTGCGCTGGCCCAAATTACCTGGGCGGTGTCTGCTACTGCTGCTCCTGCATGCCGCTCTCCATTCAGTAGAACATATTGGAGCAGGATCAATGACGGATGTCTGATGCGAAAATCTGCCAAGTCGTGGTGGAGGGCCTCATCGAAGAGGGTGGGGCTATTTTTGAACCCTTGTGGCAATCGGGTCCAGGTCAATTGCCCTGATACTCCTAATGTAGGGTCTTTCCATTCAAATGCAAATAAGGGCTGGCTTTGTGCACTGAGCCTTAAACAAAAAAATGCGTCCTTCAGGTCAAGGACCGTATACCATTGATGTGTCGGCGGCAAAGTGCTCAGCAGGTTGTAAGGATTAGGCACTGTGGGGTGGATGTCTTCCACCCTTTTATTGACCTCTCTGAGATCTTGGACTGGGCGGTAATCCCCTGTTCCTGGTTTCTTGACAGGAAGGAGGGGAGTGTTCCAAGGGGAACAGCAGGGGGTTAATATCCCCTGGTCCAAGAGTCTTTTTATGTGTGGCTTTATCCCTTCATAGGCCTCCTTGGTCATGGGATACTGCTTTATGGAGACTGGGGTTGCTGTTGCTTTTAAGTTTATAACAAGGGGCGGTTGGCGCCTTGCTAGCCCCATCCCCCAGTCTCTGCCCAGGCCAAGGGATACCTTTTGATCCAGTACTCTAGATTTTCAGTTGGTTTGAGTGGTGGATCGAAAAGTCGGTACTCGTCCTCCAATTGTAGGGTGAGGACCTGGAGGGGGTCCCGTTAGGGCCTGATATGGTGGCCCTTGATCCTTCGAAATGTATTTGGGCTCTTAGCTTGGTCAATAAGTCTCTCCCCAGGAGCGGATAGGGGCAATCAGGAACATGTAGAAAGGAGTGGGAGACTTTACCTGAGGCCAGGTGAACTTTCCTTTCCGTGGTCCAGTGATACTGCTTTTCTCCGGTAGCCCCTTGTACCCAGGCAGTTCGGCTGCTCAGGGGTCCTTGGGTACTAGTGAGCACTGAGTGTTGAGCTCCAGTGTCCACTAGAAAGGTGATGGGTTGCTCCCCAACTTGTAAAGTTATCCGGGGCTCAGGGGGAGCAGCTGGCCCTGACTTCCTCAGTCTTCACCGAGGGCTAGTAACTGGGCTTGTTGGTTAGGCCTTCTTTTGGCCCCCTTGGTCGATTTGGGCAGTCTCTGATCCAATGACCCTTTTCTTTGCAGTAGGCACATTGGTCTCGATCCACCCGGGGCCTCCTTCTATCTCCCTTCCTTTCCTGTCTCCCTGTGCCTGTGTTATTCTGTACTACGGTGGCCAAGAGTTTACTAAGTTCCCTATGGCGTTTTCGATCTTTTTCTTTTTCTCTATTCTCTAATTCCTTTTTTAGTCTTTCCTCTCTTTCCTCCTGTAATTTTCTAAGTCTTTCTTCCTTCTCTTCAGGAGTTTCTCTTTTGTTGAAAACCCTCTCTGCCTCTTTCAATAAATCAGGCAAGGTATAATCTTGCAGATTGTCTAGTCTCTGCAACTTATTGCGGATATCTGGTGCCGATTGCCATATGAAGGCCATCAGTACATTGCCCCTTTGTGCATCACTTTCAGGGTCGAAGGGGGTGTACATACGGTAGGCCTCTTTCAGACGCTCCAGAAAAGCAGTAGGAGTTTCCTCCATTCCCTGACTAACCTGTCTTACCTGAGCCAAATTGGTAGGTCGGCGTCCAGCGCCATGAAGACCCATTATTAATAACTGGCGGTAAAGACGTAGGTGTCCCCTACCTTCAGCCGTGTTGAAATCCCATTCAGGGCGAGTTAAGGGAAAAGCAGCATCGATTTCATTGGGGAGTTGAGTGGGTCGCCCATCATCGCCCGGGACGTTCTTCCTGGCCTCCAGGAACACTCTTTGTTTTTCTTCTGAAGTTAAGAGTGCCTGTAAAAGCTGCTGACAATCGTCCCATGTGGGCTGGTGGGTTATAAGGATCGATTCAATCAGGTTTGTGAGAACCATAGGATCCTTGGAAAAAGAGGGATTGTGAGATCTCCAATTGTACAAGTCAGAGGCAGAAAAAGGCCAATACTGGTATTGGTTCCCTGGGCCCCCTGTTTGGCGCAAGGGGAAAGCTCTAGAGGTTCCCCCTGACTGGGTGGGTTCCCTTTCCCTCTCAGCCTCCCAGCTACTGGGGAGTCTGATTCCTCCTCGCCCAGTGTGGGGGTTGTGCTATCCGGTTTTTCTCCTTCCTCCTTATCCCAAGCAGCTCGGGCGGGAAGGGGTGGAGCTGGCTGATATGGTGGTGGCTCTTCTGTAAGCAAGTCTATGAGAACCGAGTCATCTGGGGGTAGTACAGGTTTAGACTTAGGGGGTTTAGAGGGGGAGTTCTTCTCTAGGACAGGATAGAGGTGATGGTCTGGAGCCGGGACAGGGACCAAGGGTGAAGAAGGAGGGAGGGGAGGAGCCGATGGTTTCTCCGAGACCGCCTTCGGAGGAGGTCGGAGAGTCACAAACGGGGCTGCCCATGTCGGAGGGTCTGTAGCCAAATTTTCCCAAACAACAATGTATGCTATTTGGTCCAAGTGTCCATGGGGTTCCTTATCGAAGACCCGATCCTTAACCTGTAAGATAATTTCTAGGTTAAAAGTCCCATCCCGTGGCCAGCCCACATCAAAAGTTGGCCATTCAGATGTGCAGTAAAATTGCCATTTTCTCTTTCTGACGTTCATTGACTGGTTAGAGGCGCGGGTCTGCACTTCATTCCAATGATCTAAAGTAAGGCTCAGAGGGGTGGTTATGGTTTGTCCCATGCTTGAAACAGAAAACTAAAAACACAAAGACAAGCAGACAAACAAGACAAATGACACAATTAAGCAACTCACGACCAGACACACTGCGCGCTTTCGGCGGAGCACCGAAAGTAAATATTCAGAAGGGCCAACGTATCTGCTGGATACGTAGTGAGCTTTAAACAACTGGGCCCCCAGATCCCTGGCACGTCTGCCAGGGTGGCGGGGAGAAGTCTTGAGCTCGTCAGCTCCTTCTCAAGCCGCCTCTGATTACTGACTGGCTATGTAGCCTACCTTTCAAACGCTGCACGGAGACAGATCAACATACATATACATAACAAGGCACAAAGCGGATTGGATGCTGGTGGCTAGCTTACCTCCCGGTGGCACTGGCGGTCCTGGGGCAGATATCTCGGTGGGAACCTCCAATGTAAAACCTCAGCATCAAAGCGCCGGGCACCAGACCGAATCCTCTGCCCAAGGACGGGGCCAGACCACTGGATGCAAATGCAAGAGGCGATTTATTGGGTACACAGGCGCTTGTGGATGCTACTGCAACTCGGGTGCAGAGCATACCTGGGCTTGTAGGGAGTACACTATTTATGGAGTTTTAATGATTACATAAGTATCAGCATAGCAACAGGTATTTCATTGGCTACTGAAGCATGGGCTGAGATCATCTTGGGGGCAGGGGTAGTTGCCAAGGACTAGGTTTCCTACATGAAAGACCCCGGCATGCTTCAGCAATTAGTATCCGGGTCCTATGATTGCTACAGTGATCAGACACAATTGGGGGCCAGGGTAGTTGCCAAGGACTAGGTTTTCTAGTATTGTCATATGAAAGTTCCCAGCACGCTTCAGCAATTAGTATCCGGGTCTCATGATTGCTATAGTGAGTCAGAGACATCCTGTTTTGAGGGTGAGACACCTGTCTGGGTTTTTCCACTAGGCAATGGCTTGGCTTTGTTTTTCTTTTCCTAGGGGGGGCCCTGAGTAGGGGTCTTTCAACACAAGATCTTGGATTAATACTTAGAGATAAACTCACAATCTATGATTAATTATTAGAGATAAACACACACTCTATTATTAATATTTAGAGAAAAAACACACTCCATTATTAATATTTAGAGAAAATACACTCTATGAATAATATTTATACATAAACACACGATCAATGATTAATACTAGAGATAAACACACACTCTGTGATTAATATTCAGTCATAAACACACATTCTATGATTAATATTTAGTGATACATACACTCTGTGAATAATATTTACAGATAAGCACATACTCTATGATTAATATTTCAAGATGAAAACACTTATGATTAATATTTAGTGATTAACACATACTCTGTGATTAATATTTAGAGATAAACACACACTCTTGATTATTATTTACAGATAAAACACACTCTATTATTACTAATTAGAGATATACACACACTCTACGATTAACATTTAGATATAAACAGACTATCTATGATTAATATTTGAGATAAAAACACTCACTGCGATTAATATTTAGAGATAATCACACACTCTGTGATTAATATTTGTAGATAAACACACACTATGATTAACATTAAAGATAAACACACGCTCTGTGATTAATATTTAGAGATAAACACACTATGTGATTAATATTTAGAGATTTACACACTACGATTAATATTTAGAGATAAATACACTCTATGATTACTCTTTAGAGATAAACACACAGTATGATTAATATTTAGAGATAAACCCACATTCCATGATTAATATTACAGATAAACAATGTGATTAATATTTAGGGGTAAACACACACTATTATTAATATTTATAGATGAACACACACTCAATGATTAATATTTAGAGATAAACACTTAATCTGTGACTTTTATTTTGAGATAAATACACACTATTATCAATATTTAGAGATAAACACACACTATTATTAATATGTAGAGATAAACACACACCCTATGATTACTATTTAGAGATAAATACACTCTATGATTAAGTTTCCCAGAATTCCTTTCGGTCCAGGTTTCCCATATGTCCCCACCGACTACATTTCCCAGAATTCTCGGGGACCACATTCGCCAGAATTCTTCTAGACTACATTTCCCAGAATCTCTCATGCACTATGTTTCCCAGAATCCTGCGAGACCACATTCCACAAAATTCTTCTTCACTACATTTCCCACAATTCCTCGTAGACTACATTTCCCAGAATCCTCCTGAACTACATATTGCAAAATCCACCTGGACCATATTTCCAAGAATCATCCTGGACTACGTTTCACAGAATCATCCTGGACTACATTTCCCGAAATTACCTCAGGACTACATTTCCCAGAATTCCTAGAGGACTACTTTTCCTAGAATCCTCCTGAATCACATTTTACAGAATCCTCCTGGAATACATTTCCCATAATTCCTCCTGGACTACGTTTCCCAGAATTCCTCCTGGACTACGTTTCCCAGAATCCTCCTGGACCACAGCCCAGCTCTAGGGATGTATCAGCAGTGTGTTGTGTGCACCCTTGTTTCATGTTCTGTGTTCTGTGTTTGTTATATATCACGCATGCATTACTGTTTACAGTTTTAAGCAACATTTTAATGCCTGGTTTATTTCCACTCTTGGTCCAACTCAGTTGCCACAGGGGCCTGGAAATTAATGCAGAGAAGCCTAGAGACAAAGCAAAGGAGAAATAAATCAAATTGGAAATAATCAGGATTCAGAAATAAAAGAGAAATATCAGGAATTAGAATTATTGAGAAATTGGAAATAAATTACAAATTGGAACGAAATCAGGAATTGGAAGTACACCAGGAATTAGAAATACATGAGGAAATAGAAATATAACAGCAAATGAAAAGAAACAAGGAATTAGAATTAAATTAGAAATTGGAAATAAAACAGATATTAGAAATATAGAAGGAATACAAGAAGCAGAGAAATAAAACATAATCTATGATTAATATTTAGAGAAAAAAACACACTCTATGATTAATATTAAGAAATGAATCCAACTCTATGATTAATATTTAGAGATAAACACACACACTATGATTAATATTTAGAGATAAATACAACTCTGTGATCAATATTTAGAGTTAAATGCACACTCTCTGATTAATATTTAGAGATAAACACACTATCATTAATATTTACAGATAAACACACATTCTATGATTAATATTTAGACAAACACACAATCTATGATTAATATTTAGAAGATAAACACACACTTTATGATTATTATTTAGGAATATACACAAACTCTATGATAAATATTTAGGAATATACACACACTCTATGGGTAATATTAGAGATAAACATTCTATGATTAATATTTAGAGATAAACAATCAATATATGATTAAAATGTAGTCATTAATTAGCACTATGATTAATATTTAGAGATAAACACACAATAGATGATTAATATTTAGAGATAAACACTCTGTGATTAATATTTAGAGATAAATTCAACTCTATGATCAATATTTAGAGATAAACACACTATCATTAATATTTACATATGGACACACATTCTATGATTCATATTTAGACAAACACACCCACTATTATTAATATTTAGATATAAACAACACATTATGATTAATACTTAGAGATAAACTCACAATCTATGATTAATTTTTAGAGAAAAACACATTCACTAGGGTTAATATTTAGAGATAAACACACTCTTTATGATTAATATTTAGAGTTAAATACACACTTTATCATTAATATTTAGAGATAAACACTCTATGATTAATACTTAGAGATAAACTCACAATCTATGATTAATATTTAGAGATAAACATACACTCTGTGATTAATATTAAGAGATAAACACACACTATGATTATAATTTAGAGATAATCAGTCACTCTATGATTACTCTTTAACGATAAACACCCACTCTGTTATTACTTTCATTGATAAACATTCTATGAGTAATATTTAGGGATAAACACACACTCTATAGTTAATATGTAGATAAAGACACACTACATGATTAATATTTAGAGATAAACACACACTCTATGATAAGTATTTAGAGACCAACACACACACTATGTTTAATATTTAAATAAACACATACTTTATGATAATGGGTATGAGTAATATTTAGGGATAAACACACACTCTATGATTAATATTAAGATAAACACACATTCTATGATTAATATTTAAAGATAATCCCAAACTCTATGATTAATATCTAGAGATAAACACAAAATTTATGACTAATATTTAGATAAAAACAAAGTCTATGATTAATATTTAGAGATGAACAAACAATTTAAGTGTAATATTTAGAGTGAAACATACACTCTGTGATTAATTTTTATTGATAAACACTCTATGTTAATATTTAGAGATAAACACACACTCTGTTATTAGTATTTAGAGATAAACACTCACTCTATGATTAACATTTTCATAAAAATACCCACTTGTGGTTATTTTTATTGATAAACACTCTATGATTAATATTTAGCGATCAACACAAAGTATATGATTAATATTTAGAAATAAACACACAATTATGAATAATATTTAATTAAACACACACTCTGTGATGAATATGTGGTAGATAAAAACACACTCTATGATAACATTTAGAGGTAAACTCACAATCTATGAGTAGGATTTACAGATAAACACCTACACTATGTTTAATATTTAGAAGATGAACACATACTCTATGATTAATATAAAGATAGACACACTATGATTAATGTACATAGACAAAAACACATTCAATGAATAATATTTAGAGATAAACACACACAGTATGTATTATATTTAGATAACCATACACTATGTGATTAATATTAATAATAAACACACACTATATAATTAATATTAAGATAATCACACACTCTGTGATTAATATTCATAGATAAAACACAATCTCTGATTAATATATGGAAGATAAACACACACACTATGATTAATAATAATTAATAAACACACGATGTATGATTAATACTTAGAGATAAACACACACTCTGTGATTAAAATTCATAATAAAAACACACTCCATTATTAATATTTAGTGATAAACACACACTCTGTCATTAATATTTAGAGATAAAGCACAATCTCTGATTAATATATAGAAGAGAAACACACACACTATGATTAATAATTATTAATAAACACACGATATATGATTAATAATTAGAGATAAACACAAACTCTATGATTAATATTTAGAAGATAATGACACACTCTATGATTAATTTTTAGAGACAAACAGACACATTGTGATTAATATTTAGATAATCACACACTCTTTGATTAATATTGATAATAAACACACACTATGATTAATATTTAGAGCTAAACTCACACTCTATGATTAATATTTAGAGATAATCACGCACTCAATGATAAATATTTGGAGATACACACACTATGTGATTAATATTTAGACATAAACAACACTCTATTTTTAATATTTAGCGATAAACACACACTCTGTGT